AACTGGGCGATGACTGAAAATAACTAACCCACTGGAGAGTGATAAAAGCATCTGCTGAAAATCTGGTAACCAGATCTCCTTGGTACCAGAAAAAAAAAAAAAAACACACAAAAAAGCTGGTGGGTGGTGTACATGGTACAAAGAAAGGGAGTCCCTGAGTGTCAGCATCTGGCAAGGCCACGTGTAGCATAATCTGATTAGTTTTCAGTTCCACACCCACAAGCTGAAAGATAAAAACGCACACCCCTCCTCCCCGAGGAGGTAAAAATCTTCAAGCATCAACACCACATTTACATTCTGCAAGTCAGCCTCTTCCATGGCCCAATTTACATCTTGCCTTCTCCAGCAGAGTGGTGGAAGTTCAGGGATGAGAGAAGAGCTCACGTCCCTCTCCAGTTACCACATCCAGCAGACTCAAGATTGCCTTGCTTTGATCTGGGAGACATTCCATTGCTTAGTTTAAACTGAAATGATTAAGAAGGAGAAGAAGCCTTCTCACATCTTCTGCCGTGTCTGGGATGTGATAATTGAACATCAGCTTCCATGGGCCATGTGAACATACTCTGAGGCCATCCAGGGCTGGCGAGCAGAAACAGCAGCTCAGGCACTGGCTGACTGGCTGCAGTTTGCACTGACCTAATGACACTCTCTCAGTACTGTTTTCTGGTTTGGTTCATGTAAAATGGCCAAAATTGGCACTGGAAGGGATTAATGGCAATGCTTCTGCCTCCAGAAACTAGTACTTAATTAGGTATTTAGTTTGAAATAGCTGAGTAGTGGCAAAAGATCAGAATATGTCTTGTCATTTTGGAGTGAATAATGGATTTCTGATATCCAGTGTGTTTTGTACTGTGCCAGCAGACAAATCATAACAGCTTGTTTAGCTTTTGCCTATGAATTCTCAATTTTTTCATCTCTTTCCTATCTCCTCTCCTGTGATCTAACCAGTTCCAAAAGCTACTGAGTCCCATCCTTACTCAGAGACTCATGGAACAACCTCCATCTTTTTGACCACATTTTGTATCAAATGCTGCCTGTGCCCATAAACGTTTTTCCCCTCTCCAAGCCCAATCCATTCCACAAATTAATCTTTGTAACAGAGCAACAGGCACTAAATGCAGTGTTGCAGGCATTGGGATAGCTGCAGCATTATTTTATTCTACTCTTCACACAGATTTTATATTGCTTTTTAATGTACCCACTGCTGCAGCAGATCATGGATTCTCCCTCAGCTCTCCACACTTGCTACCCTAATCTTTTTTCCTGAAATAAAATTACGCCTCAATACTGAGGCTGAGGAATACAGCTTTTCTTAGCACACTCCCCTGGGATCAGGAATTTCTCTGTCAACGGACACATATATCAATGAGAGATGAAAAGCAGCTTGTGGAATGAGTTTTAAACATGTATCACATATTTCATTGCTGCTGCTTATGTGCTGCTCAGAAGGTCTTTTTAGACTGTTTTCAGCCAATACCTCCTGGCTTCTCTGTACTTAATAGGATTTTTTTTTCTGCAAAGGAATCAAGGCAGGATATTTAAGTTGCCCACACGCCTTTGTGAGCACCTCCTGAATTCAGAAGGTTTTGCTGAGTTTCCTGCTGACTTTCAGTGTGAGCACGTCTCAGCTTTTATCAAAGCAGAGTAACCCATGACGTGCGAAGCTGCAATGTCATCTTGTCTCCCTGGGACATTTCACTGGGGGAGTGTGGCTCCTTCTGTGGATCTCTTTGTCACAACATGACTCCGTGTTACAACCCTAAATTTTAAATGTCCAGAAGGGGAAGGCAAGTCTGCCTTTGGCCCCTTGCTGCTTTCTGGGGACTTGCAGTTCCATTGATGCCTGGGGTCTTCCAGATGTGCACAGAGCTCTCTTTTCCTACTCTTTTTTTTTTTTTTTTTTGGGGGGGGGCAGGGGCAGCAACACCCAAACCCACACATCTCTAGATCATTTCAATTTGACCAGATGTGAGGATCTTTCTTCTTAATTCTTTTTTCCCTTCTCCTTTTTTTTCCTCTCTTCTTCCCCCCCCCTTTTTTTTTACCCTGCCTACCCTAAAGTGCACTGCTATCCTCTTGAATTTTGTCTTTCTGTGACAGTCCTAGTTCATTTTAAAAATAATATACATAATTAAATATAAAATCTTCTCTAGCAGAGCTATGCATGACCAAATGGAGTGAGATGAAAACAGGGATGGGAGGTTTTGGGCATAGGTTGGTGCAGGAGTGGTGGTGAACTATGTAGTAAGTGTTCATTGAGTTATCTGAAGATAGTTAAAATAGCTTGTGCATCAGTTTCTTAGTGATTTTTAGTGACTTTCAGTGACTTTCCTTAAGGAAAAGGGCACTATATGAACATAACGTGGGATTTTTCTACAGATATTCAAATTACAATTTACTTTGGGGGTGGATTGATTTCCAGCTGAAGTCAGCCCTGAAGCGTGAGACCAGAGATGGGCTGATCATGTCTGCCTTATTTTGAGCCCTCTCAGATTTCACAGAACCACAGAATGATTTGGGTTGGAAGAGACCTTAAAGATCATCACGTTCCAACCCCTTGTCATGAGCAGGGACACCTTCCACTAGACCAGGTTGCTCAATTTGCCAAATCATGATTAGGAACGAGCAGAAGAGAAAAGAGGAAGGGAAGAGGATGCCTTGAAAAGAAAAAAAAAAACAGTGGAAAATATGACAGGCAAGGGGAAAAGCAAACACATAAAAATTGTGGAGGAAAAGAAGATGGAGTAATCCCAAGAGAATTTTGACTGCATGTGTATGTGAAAGTCATTTCTTCAGATATAGCAGACCCAACTTGTACAAGTTGTAATTTGGATAGATTGGGAATATAAAGCTAAAGAATACAGGTTAGATGTTATGTTGTTAATTAAGCTGCTGTTAAGGAGTTTTTACAAGCCCACCAAAAATCGTTCCCCATTTAAAGTGATTGATCCCTCCTGAAGCAAGAAGTAGACACCCATGTCAGCTCTAACATGGAGCAGCACCTTCTCCTTGAGGAGAAGGCTCCTGCCTATCACTGTGCTTTTAGACTGAGTCATCCTGGGAGAGAGAAATCATACTTCAAAGTACCAAATAATGGGTCAATTAATTATTATTTTCTAAATTGCTAGAGAAGTTTCTCCAAAGATAAATTCCATCAAGTTTCTCCTCATCTTGCAACCTGGCTCCTCTATCTAAAAATGCAATTTCCCTGAATTCAGTTTGGATTTCTCTAATTTGGATATTGCTTTGCCAACGTGCCATGAAGGCACCATAGTCCCAGTTAGATGATGTGAACCCATGTAGTTAGTACTGTGATGAGAGTTACCATTAAAAATCTTTTTTTTTTTTTTTTAGCAGTGGTAGTCTGATAGCTCAATCTCAAGATTAAGTGGCCTCATTTCTGCTTCTAAAAAAAATTAACCAGTGCAGGAATTGGTTCTCTGGCCCAAAGACTGATGGGACAATCTGCCCATGTCAGCAAAGCTGGACTCTTGTAGCCTCCAGGCAGATGGCTGTGTTCACACTGCTGAGGGACAACACAGATTACCTCAAACCACTAGGGATCATCTGGAAGGGTTCAAGCCCAAACCCTTCCAGAGGCCCTTCTTATTGTTAAAAGCATTAAAAGATCCCACCCAGTTATTGCTTGTGCCTGTGCCCTGGCACTGCTCACAGGGATGGAGACAGAAGTGGTTCTGGGTCACAGTCAGGGGGTCTGGGCCCCCCTTTCAGCTCTGCAGAGGCTTTTTGTGTGACCTTGGTTGGTGACTTAGGGTAAGCTTCATTCCATTTAATGTTGACTAATGGCGAGGGTGTCTAATTAAACCAGTCATGTGTGCTCCCTCTCTGATCAGAGAAGGAAGAGAAAGCAAATTCAGAAGGTGAATCATGCTGTTTTAAGATGGGTGTCAGAGACAAATGAGATGAATTGCCCTCTGGAAGTAGCTATTTCTTTCCATTAACCGAAGAGGAAGTCTACATTAGAAGAGTTTAGACTAGATGCCTGATTTATGAGTGGCTGAAGTTAAGCAAAATTAGTCCTGTCCTTAATCTTTATGCATGTCTGTTTCTCTGTGTGTTAAGTAATAGAAATAACACCTTCTGCACCTCACATTGGAAGGCGCCATTGGTCAAGGAGCATCCTAAAACTCCTTTGGAAAGAAATTAAACCTAGGAGCAAAACTACAACCACTACAGAAATAAAGTCTTTACTCTTGAACCAACTCAGTGACAACATGAGCACTACCACTGGTGGCATCCTGGTGCTTTTGGCATTTCCCTAATTTACATTTTGACAGCAAAACATCCCTAAATGAGTGTTCCAAAAAATTGCCAGGGGCAATTAGCCTGTTTTGGGGGAGAGCAGTAGCAGCACTGAAGGCTGACCATGACAGGGTGTGAAGGACCCATCTCAGCCAGCAGCTTTGAAGATTTTCCTTGGATACTGCTCTTCTGGATTGACAGGGACTATTGACTTTTTGGAAAATATCCCAGAGGAATGAAAGCTAATGACTGACTGTGATAGAGTTAAAGAAAAAAAACATAAAGGGAGAAGAAAAGCTTGCAAAAATCCACAACATATGAATCAGGCATGGAATAATTGTCCCACTTGATAACTTGTATGTACTCATGAGGCTTGCTATTGGAAGGGGAAGTTTGCCTCTTAACTATCTTGTGTAGATAAAGCAGAAAAAAAAAACCACCAACAAAAAAGACCTTGTGTGAGTGTCCTGATAAGTGCTTATTTTGATCCAAATTGCAATCTGTTACACATGTGTATGGGCACTGTTGTGTTCGATAAGGCTTTCACCAGCACAACCATGTCCAAAACACAAACCCCCAATGATGTTTCTGTGTTATCAGGGGTAGCTGAGATACCTGTAAATCCATTAAATCTAATAACAGGTCCTTAGAGGCCATTTCGGGGTTTTTTTTGGGGGGTGTGTTAAATTACTACATCTTGTTATTAACGCTTTTATTTTATGATTTGCTATTTCCAGGGCACAGACAGAAGCTTGATGACTCTAAACCTAGTTTGTTCTCTGAACGCCTCAGTGATTTAGGGCGCATTCCTCATCCCAGTATGAGAGTAGGGGTCCCGACCCAGAGCCCACGGCCCTCTCTGAACTCTGCACCAAGTCCTTTTAATCCACAAGGACAGAGTCAGATTACAGGTAAGAGACAGAACCATAGGTTTGACTTGCACAGGCAATGGTAGTAATTGCTTATGGGTATTTGTGTCTCAGCTACAGTCAAATAGGCTGTTACAGAGTGAGAGATGTTTTCCAAGCAAAGCTAGGTGGGAAGTGGATTTTTCTGTAGTGCTTGAAGCTGAAAATGTTATTCTTTTTCTTTTAATATCTTTTTGCCATAAATCTAACATAGTCAATCCAGGTAAATTGGGTAGGAATCTGGTGAAATTCTAACTGCCATGTTGCTCTGCCTTCTCCGTGTTGCAATAGTACTTATTAGCGTATAATAGAATGAACATTTTTATCCAGCCTTGTTATTTTGCACCCATGTGGAGGGGAGCAGCCAGCACTTAACAGTCTTTCTATCGGAATAATAACACAATCTTCTCACATGGCAGTTTCCTTCCAGCACCAGTGCTGACCACGGTTACAATAAATGAACTGGGTTATGGAGAAGTCTCCAAAGGTTGCTTGTGGGGGTTGTATGCAACATTTATGATTGCATGCTGAGAGACAGATTTCGTTGTGCTGAGAGAAATCATAAAGCACCCACCATGTGTCACAGATTAGAAGACTGAAAACAGTTGTTTAACTGCAGCTAAGCCAGAAGTTTGCAGCAAAACTGCGAAGCCTACAAAATAAACCAATTTTGTCATTTTTTTCTAAATTCAGAGCTAGTTACATTTTTTAAAATAGTTTCAAAACAAACCAATTTTGTAATTTTTTTTCTAAATTCAGAGATAGTTACATTTTTTTAGAATAGTTTCAAAACAATCTCTACCTAATTTTGGGCATTTCCAGACTCAAAATTTGTGTTGACATATTTGTGTCTATCCAGGATATGAAGAGGTGTTACCCCTGACCAATTGCTCGAACTGTTGGCGAGCTTCACCTGGATACAAGTCTGTCAGCAAAACTCTTGGCTCAAATTTCCTAGACCCATTTAATACTCAATTCTGCTGCTATAGTTGCACCTACACCAGGAGTCCTTTGCCAGCATTATACACTAGCATTCCTTTCCTGGTAAAGCGCTCCTAGTATAGACATAGACTTTGAGTCAACCTAGGAAGATTTCTAGTTTCATGTTTCAAGTGGTTTTGACATGATACCAGCTGAAACTTAGTGGTTTTAACAAAGTGTTGTGGCTTTCTTCTTCTTTCTTTTTCTCCTTTTTTTTTTTAAGTTCAACTGGTTTATTAATTTGCAGTAAGAAAGAGAAGTAAGTGAGTCAATTTGAACCCAAAGCACTCAAGGAATTGCAACAAAAAAATTGCTCCCAGGAGCTATGGCAAAGTTCTCCCATATCTAGAAGTCTAACTTTAACTAGTGTAAAATGTTTATAATATAATAAATATGTTAGTTGTACCCATTACATGGTATCTGATGCCCTCCAGCTTCTCAGAGCAGGTTTTTTTTGCCAGGCTTAGTATTTTGTTCATAGGACATGTGAAGTCGGGGCTCTTGTGCATATCATTTTCTGAGTAAGAACTGCCAGAATAAAGGCCAATAGTTTTTCTAACCAACTATCTTCTGTCTGGCAGTGTTTGTTGGACATAGCTCCCAAGAAAGCAGGGGGGGAAATCCAGGCTATAAGCAGCTTTTTTCCTTCTTCCTTGAGCCTCCATAGTTTACCTATTGTGCAACACTATATCTAGGAACTAAAGAGGGTGAAATTCTTCCTGACCCCATCTGGTGATCAGCTTATGCCCCGAAGCACAAGAACTGAGATCCCCTTGTAATTTTCTTCCTAACTAAGTGTAACCTCATATGCTGCTCTCCTTCACATAAATGCCTCCCGTAGAAAACGTTCTGCTGGCTTTGATTAATAGACTACTTCTCTGCCTCGTTATGAAGCAGCAGCAGCATTTACAGATCCGGGAGGTGAAAACTTCAGATGAGCTTTAAATAAGCTTGACTGGAAACAAAGCTGTGTGGCATTCGCTGCCTTCTCTGCAAATTTAAGTCAGCACTTCAAAGCACCAGCTGAGACTTCATTGAGAGAGGGAAAATGCAATGCTGGTAGGGCAGAGGGAAGTGAGCTGAGCCAAGGGAGGCAGGCTGGCTTTCCCATCCATTGTGGATTATGTGCTTTTATTGTTGGATAAACTCAGGGTCATGGGATACATTAGCGTCCCAAATTGCTCTCATTTCCCCCAAAATGATAGGACTCAGTTTGTAGTGAATAAGTGGTCTGATACAGTATTTGCTATGATGTTCCCTACCTTTATGTTATTCTTCTCCTCAGTTTAGTAAAGTCAAACACCCAGCCCCCAAAGGCTCCTCGTTAGCTCTCTGGTAGCCCTCCCATTTAGTAAGGCCATTGTGTGAGCATGTTACAGGGGTGCGAGCTCTGCGAATTGCACTGACTTCCCACAAAGCTTTTTGGTGCTCCTCAGGACCTTGATTGCAATCTGTAAAGCTCTACGTGCTTTGATGTTCCACCAAAGCGCTGGGGCGTGTTTTGCGGACGGTCCCTCCGAGTTCTTCTGGGATGAAGGGGTGATCTTTGCTGCACAAACCATGCCAATGAGAGACAAAGGTGATGGCGTGGACGAGGCACCACTTTGGTCGGGTGTTGTGTGGGAAATTGTTGAACATCTGCCTGTTCGGTGTGGTGGTAGGGAGCGAGGTGTTTGGGTGTCCAACACCAGTTTCCTTGATGTGGTGGGATATGCAGTTGGAATACCACTGGCTTCTTAACATGGACACTGCCTTGGGGTATCTATTAAAAGGAGACTCGACCCTTCTCTGAAAAACAGGGATTTTTTATTACCTTTATTGGAATTAACCAAGCATTCCTTTAGAAATAGCTTTATTTCATAATCTTTTTACCTAATAATTTAGGGAAAATAATTAATTCGTAATAACTTGAACAGTAAATACTGGTTTCCTATGACAAAATCCATATTATTGCTAGTAAGCACATAAACTGTTTTTGTTTCGTTCCACTTGAAGTCTTGCATAGCTGTTGCATGATTAAACAGGAATAATATTTAAAGCCTGGCTGGCCCACACCTGAGCCTGAGAGAACTCAGCACTTTGGGGATCACTCTTATGTTTCTTTTCTCTGTGTAGATTGTGTTTATTTTCCTGGAGTATCAGAGTACAGGTTGTACAAATCACAGCACAGTCCTTAACCTACCACTGGACCGGACTGTGGCAGGACAAGGCACAGAGTTGCCCTTATTCAACATGGCATTTTAACTAGGATTCAGCAAAAGCTACATCGAAGATTGATTAAAAAACAAATGGTCCAATAAGCAGATGCCTTTGCTGAGGCAGTGCAGATCCAATTTGAGCCCTGCTTGCTGCCCGTAAATCAGGAATCCTGTCTGTTCACATTTGGATACTGGTATATTTGCTTTTTTATTTTTTTCCCTCTCCCTAACGGCACTCACACAACTTGCTCATGTATCGAGTTACATTCTCATTCAGACACTGAGCTGTGGCATCAATATTCCAGTACAAAATGAGGAAAACTTATTTCTCTAAAACGCTGGTGAGGATTAGCTTCTGCAGGCCAGGAAAAGCCACGGGCGCAAGGCAGGAATGTGTTCGATGCGAGGACCCCATCGGCTGGGCTGAGGGACAGCAAAGTGGGAGTTAAGTGAGGTTTCATGCTCCATCACCACTGTGGTACCAGCTGATCTATAGGCAACCTGTGACTTTCACCACTGAAATAACAGCCCTCGAAGGCACGTCCTGTGAACTGGGTTTTTTTCCCTTTTCCTCTTCCCCCTCCCCATTCACTTCAGGGATGTTATGCTTTCATTTCTTACAATTTTTAGGGTGGTAGGAATCAGATTTAAAGGTTTTGGAGCTGACTAACCTGGAAGGTAGTGAGGGGACACATGTCCACTGGCTGGTTTCAGGGATACTGTTAGCTATGAGTCTACTCAGAGGGCCATGAGCAGAAAGCACCTTTGACTCTCAGAGGATGAGGATGGTACCAGCTGGGCCATCCTTAATTCCCCATTCAGGGCTTGCAGGCACTGCCCTTTTGCAGAGTAAGGGAGGAGGTAAAAAGCTGTGCTCACCCCAGCACTGTCCTTGGCTCTGGATATGGAGCTGTGCAGCATCTGCCTCAGACAGCAGGGTCTCTCATAAGGTACAGAATAGGTTTGAAACAGAATTGGTGTAGCTGTTATTAGACCAGCACTGTGCAAGTGCCCTGCCAGGGATTGGCTGTATTTTATCTGGGACCAGCAGCTCTCAGAAGCACCCACCACCCCCTTTCACAATTTAGTGGCCCTAGTAGCATGATTCATTCAGTTTATCTTTTTTTTTTTTTCCTTTTAGAAATGTGACTCTTGAAGAGGTGGAAGGAGAAATGGGTTTAGAGGTTCTTCAGACCAAAATCTGGTCCCAATTACTCTTCTGTACATTGGGGTGTAACTCCATTGGATTTGACTTCATTGATTGAACTGGGCAATTCACATGAAGCCCTGGGCTTTTAAGGATGCCTAAGAGACAGTCAGAGAAGAGGAGGAGATTGCATTTTGTTGTTGTTTTGCCGGGGGGGTTGGTGTTACAACAATAGTTGAGTTACTCATGCAGAAAGTCATCTTGCTTTTGTTACGATCAGAAGCGAGGATATTTGCTTTAAGTGTTTACCAAAGATAGCTCCAGACAGCTTGTTTTTTACTATTGGCAGTAGCACTGTTACAACCAGCAGCAGCCAGTGCTAGAGCTGATGGCTGGGTTTAGATGAGAGTGAGACATGTGTGACGTCTGGGTTTTATAGATGGTACGCTGAGGAGCTGCCAGCCTGTGATCATGCTCTGGTCATGTAACTCAGCTTGGAAAACGGGGAATTGACTTTTTCCTATAGTGAATTGTTGTGCTTCATAACCCAGCGCCAAAGTGGTGGTAAAACCTGTTCTTCAGAGATATCTGCAGGTTTTTTCTTCTCTCCGTTGGCACTTCGCGGAAGGTATCCCTACTCATGGCGGGTGGGCTGGAACTTTAGATGATCTTTAAGGTCCCTTCCAACCCAAAATGTGTGATTCTGAAAGAATTGAAAGAAGAGAAGTCATGGTGCTGGAGAGTCAATGCTGTTGGTGGGAGAATGGGTCACTAGAGGTTTTTTTCCATTCTTTCATTTTTAATTTTAGTTTTATATAGTGCATCCAATCTTGGACTGATTTTTAAAGACACTTATTGTCCATTAAACATCAGTTTCCACAGTCCATTTGACACAGTCAGTCACAGACCACAAAGGGTCAAGAAACCTGGATATCTCTCATGACTATAAGTGAGACAGTAAAACCTAGACACAAAATAATATGCAATACTCAATATTTCCCAATTTGTTGAGGTTCACCTGAAAGTGCAAACAGGATGGAGCTGTCTGTGCATTAGTTTAGGCCTCGCCCTGCTGATTTGTTTCAGCTGAACTGTGCCCAGGCTTTCTTAGCATACCCATGATATGCCCTGCTGTGAAGGAATACGCTGAGAGCCGCACTTCCCTTCACACCCACGCAGGCATAACAGAAATGTTTACAAAAGGAGGACTGCTCTCAGTAATCACTCCAAAGTTTTCAAGTGTAAATGCCAGCTCAGAGTGGCTGCTGCATGGGAAGGCGGGGGGGCCTTCTCCCAAGCTGTAATTTTATTTTTATATTAATGGTTTCCCTTGCTTTGGAGGTATTCCTTTAGGGAGGAATCCACATTCACTCTGCCTCAGAGCTTTAAGGTTTCTCATCTGCTCTGGGCTTTTTGTGATTGGGAAGATGTGCTGTGCCTGCAGAGCACGTGGTGCTTTGGATGACAGTGCAAAGTCCGTGGTCCACAGGGACCCTGTGGACATGTGTGGGCCCACCAGCTACAGCGAATGGGGAAGTTGGTCTGTGGTGTAGGAGGCCAAGGAAAATCTCTCACAAATCCACTCATAGCTTCTTCCCCAATGGTATGTGCTAAACAGTCATCCCACCCCTTCTGTGCCCAAGCGAGGAGGAGGTGACCCTCCTAAGAGGAGAGTGTTGTTGTGTTTCCCTCAGAAGCATCTGTGTGGATCTGCCCTGGAAGTGCTGTTGTGGCGGCTGGCACATCCCTGTGGTGTTCCCATCACCTTCTTTGCCCAAGGGAGTTTGGTGATGTGTGGGACCAGAAGAAATGGGCTGGCTGGGCCTCAGTGGCCAAAGTCACTGCTCCAGCATCATTGCCAGGACCATCTTCTGGTGGAACTAGAAGATGCCACGTGGGACCCAGCTGCATGTCCATCTTCAGGGACTAGATGGGGCAGCTTTGGGCTCTGTCTTATGGCATTTTTTGCTGGGAATTGGGCAATGCTGCTGAGCAGTGACGTTTGCCCTGTGGGCTAATGGGTCACCTTTGACTTGGCAAAGGCAATGGTGTTTCACCGCTCTCTTCTCTCATATCCGTGTGCAAGCCTTGACCACCATCAGTCAGCAGAGATTGGCTTTAGGGCACTTACTCTAAGATCTGGTGAAACTTGTATCTTCACTTTTGGGTTTCCTGGCGGGCCAAAGATAACACTTGAGCCAGTCAGCCCCGGGACAAAATTCTCCAGCCTGCCTCAACCATGACCTCAGCTGTGCCTTGATGTGGAGGAATCGTAGTAACCCTCTAGCCTGGGGTACTGTGACCTTCTCCTCAGTCACTGAGCTCTGGTACATCATCTGATGTTCAATTTGGTTGAGTATTTTCCTCTTCATTATTTCCTGTTCCCTGAGAAGACTGTTCTATTTAAGGTAGATATTGTAAGAATGTATGATATGTTTTGGGCTCAACTGACTCCATCCAGCCTCATATCCTGCCTCTGACAGCACAGTATGAGATACTGTTTTGAAATACCACATAAGCCTTTGAAAGACAACTTTTTGCCATTCATCATTCTTTTGTCCATGCAGGCATTCACAGTTGCTGGATTAAGGACATTGAGTGTAAAACCAAGTCTTGCATGGGTGTTCAAAGTAATGAGGGTGCCAGAAATGCTCAAGAGCTTCTTGTGCCACAAGGATTACACCACCAAGAGTGGCATGAATCTCCAGAATGCAGTTCCTCTCCTAAGGTTTCCACTGTCTTAGACCAAAATGATGTAAAAACATCTTCTGCTGTTAATTTTTTAACCCAGCCTTTACCTGCTACATTATTTCCTTCCAGCATTGGAGCTGACCTAACCCCAAAACTTTAAGAGACTTTGTTTTGGATTCGGAAGCAGAGATTGAAAAACTCTTAGAGTTTGAAGGATTTTGGATTTGAGATTGTGCTCCTAATACATCATTAATTTTAATATTGTTTTCCCAGCAAGCCTAAGCTTTCTGTTCCCAGTTGAAGATCATTTACCATTGACTGCATGGTGGATTATTGTAGTGGAATGAGGCAGAGAAATATGTCGATATCAGATGTAACAACGAGCAGTCAGTCAGATTTGAACCTGTGCCAATCTATACAACCCTGGCCTTGAAAATGTTAAAACAAAGAAGTTCATTACATTTAATGACCAAGTGTCCTTTGCATTTCTGAGGAGTTTATATTAACCATTTATATTACTCAGCTCTAATATAAATGGCAAACTCCAGGAAAACCCTCTTAAAATTAAATTGGAATGTTGTTTTTTTTATATATATCTATATAGTTATTTTGCTTCGAGGAAGTATCTGCTTTCCAGACATCTCTTTAAACAAATCATGTCTGAACAGAAATAATAAACAAGGAATAGCTGAAACTACAAGGTTTTGCTGTGTGGAAGAACAGGGAAAGGAGTTAAAAAAAAAAAAAAAGAAAAAAAGTTGAATTTCCTGAAGAAGTGCCTTTGCTTACGCCATGTGGCTGTCACATTGCTGTCTGCAAAGCAGGGCTTTAGCACAGTGCTCTGATAGAGCTTGTTCTTCAAGTGGAATGAGCCTGATCTGCTTCCCTGAAAAAACTGGGCAGGATTTGAAGAGGTGTGCTACAATTTCTATGAGTTGGTTCAGAGATAGTTTTCCGTTTATTGTGCAGTGCCCAAAACAAACTTTGGCGTTCAAAGTGCTTTGTTTTTATTGATGTAATGAAATAAAAATCATAATTTATGAGGCATTCAGTGGTATCTTTATCATCAGATATTAACTGAGAGCAAAAGGTTTATAAATCCAAACACCAGTGAGTAAAACTAGGTCTCCATCTCTCTCACTTAGTTATTCCATAAGTGCTTCAGAAAACATTAAACTCTATTTATCCTTAAAATCATTTCCCCCACAGTGGACTGTCACAAGTACATCAAAAGGGATCATTAGCTTCCAATAGTTCTCCCAAACCATTTGGTTTCATATTTTGTAATTGAGGGAACTGTAAGTAATTGGGCCAGTATCCAAATGTGACATTTTTGGATGGATTGCTGATAAGATTAATCACATTTTGCTCCTTGCTTAGTTTTTTCAGCATTGAAAACACTACTGTGTGGTGTTTGAACTGTATAACAGCTTGACATGCATGTCAAGTGCTGTCTGTAGAGTTTCCCCACCCCTGAAGGAAACAGCCTTAGGTTGTACCAGGGGAGATTTAGACTGGATGCTATGAAAATTTCGTCACTGAGAGGGTGTTCAGGCATTGGAACAGGCTGCCGGGGAAGTGGTGAAGTCACCATCCCTGGGAGTGTTCAAAAAACTTATAGATGTGGTGCTTAGAGACAAGTCATGGACTGGCAGTGCTGGATTAATGGTTGGACCTGATGATCTTAGAGGTCTTTTCCAAACTGAATGATTCTATGATTGTATGATGTCCACTTCCTAAGCTCAGACCTGGGGCTCATCCTTGCTCTCTGCTTCTGTCTGAAGCCTTGAGGACTGGCCACTCTCGATATACCATTGTTGGAAGAAAGACACAGCACAGCTGCTGGATCTTTTAAAACTCTTCTCTCTGCTCTGTTCATTTCCCCAAGAAGTTGTTCTGGGGAGGGAAAGGCACAGACCAAGGCTTGAAAGGGTTGAGCTGTAGAGGAGCAAGTTGTGTTTCATTACATTCTCATTCCTCGTAGCACTGATGTATGTATGTTCAGTAACCCCACTTCTTTCAGTTAGGCTGTTGATACCCTAAAATTTTTCTTCCTTTTAAAAAATTTTTCTTTCTTTTCTTTTTCTCTTTTTTTTTTTTTTTTTGTTTGTTTTTTTTTTTTTTTTCCCCAGACCCCAGGCAGGCGCAGTCATCCCCNTTTGTTTGTTTGTTTGTTTTCCCCAGACCCCAGGCAGGCGCAGTCATCCCCGCCATGGTCCTATGACCAGTCTTACCCATCCTACTTGAGCCAGATGACTTCACCGTCCATTCACTCCACAACTCCCCTGTCCTCCACTCGAGGCACAGGACTTCCAGCCATTACCGATGTGCCCAGACGCCTCTCAGGTAAAGACTGTGTTTTGCCTAAAACAATTACACAGAGAGGAACAGGACTGGCAGTGGCTGCCTCCGTGGCCTCAGACAAACCTTAGCAAGGAGAGCAAAGCTCAGCAGTGATATTAGAGTTTCTGCATGGCAGACAGGGGTCAAAGTCCCTTTTTTTTTGAGGTGGAAATGCTGCTGTGTTGTTCTGAGCATGTGTCACTTGAATGAATCAAAGTCCATTTCAGATCAGGCTATTTTTAAGTTGTAAACCTGATTCTATGAACAATTTTTTATTTTTTTTTAATTTCCCCTACAAGAGGATGATTATTTGCATGTAATTAGGCACTGGCACAGGTTGCCCAGAGAAGCTGTGGATGCCCCATCCCTGGAAGTGTTCAAAACAAGGTTGGATGGGGCTTTGAGCAACGTGGTCTAATGGAAGGTGTCCCTGCCCATGGCAGGGGGGTTGGAACTAGATGATCTTTAAGGTCCCTTCCAACCCAAACCATTCTGTGATTCTATGTTTTAAATTAATTGTGATATTCTCTGTTTCTTTGTGCTTTACTTTTGTAGGGTGTGTGATGTCAGGCATCCTGAGAGATAGGGGCCCTTATTTCCTCAATAGTTAAGGCTGAGGCTCATTCTCCTGCATTTCAATCCAGTAGCTCAAGAAAGCTTGTTTCCTTAGTTAATGTGTATTTAAGATGCCTATCAGAAACAAGCTGAGTTACTTTAAGGTAAAGATTGGACAAATTGTCATTTGGAATGATGCAGGAGAGAGGAAATATGTTTAGGGACATAGAAAAGACAGCAGTGAGGAACTGGGACCTTTTTTCTTTAATCAAACAAATGCACATTTACATACTGCGCAATTCATCTCTAATGGTCTCAGTGATAAAACCATCTGTGTAAAGTAATCTGATTGCCCCAAAGTAAGAGAGAGCCTGTCATGGCATACAGTCACCTTGTACATCTTGCCAAAAATGGGGAACCTTAGGGGAGGGAGGCTCAGTATTAAAAATCCAACCTTGCAAGTGTGGAAATATTAGCAGCGTATGCCAAAAAAGCATGTGTAATGTAAAGAAAGCCTTTATGATTCATTAGTGAAAACCAAAGTATCAGTCTTATTACATCTATTTTTTGCATGTTTGCAAGATATTATTATAATCTTGGATGCTGCTGCCATACACCTGTTTGACTCCGAGCCAGGTGAATTTCTTGCTGTCGTGTTTTCCCCTTCCACTGAGCTCATAGCACTGGAAATGTTGATCACTCCGCTGAGCTGCATCCCTGACAAGCTGAACTGCAGCCAGCAGGCGTGTAGGATTTGATTAGCATAGACTCCTTGATTTCTTTCATCTTGGAGGAGGGAAGCTTTGTTTCTCAAACAAACAGCTGCAAAACCCTCTGCAGCCATAGTGCACTCTGCCTTGCAGAGATGCCAAAGATCTCCATGTGGTCTGAGGATGGTGGAGCAGGTTCCTGTGGGCTCTCTGTGCAACGCGCTGACTTGGGTCAAAAAACCTGATCAGCTTGATGCTGAGGAAATGCTTTGTTTAGCCTGAAACAGGTTCCCTTTGAGTCAGAGCCTCCTGATGGTCTGTGTTGTCGAATGGGTTATTTTTGCAATTGTGCCCGCAGCAATACCTGCAGGAGAGGCTCGGCTGGGACCTGGCAGCTGTACGCCGCATGCTTGCCCTGCAGCCCTTGCTTGTCTGTGTGTATTCAGACGAGAGTGCCTGGCATGTGGGCACAGGCAGAATGACTAAAAGACCTGGCTGTGTAAGTTGTGTGGCCGCGGACTGAACTTTCCTGCCGTACTCTGCAGTCAGTTCCCTTCGCGCTTCTTGTCCTTCATCTTTCTGGGGCTCGACTGGTGCCTCTGCAATGCCCTTACCTTTTCCCAGTGCGGGGATCCTGCACCCAGTTAGATTCCAGGCTGAAAAAGGGTACTTTGATCTTCCACAAGTGCCAGATGTTGTCTACAGTGTTTTCTGATGGAAATAGAATTTCAGAATGGAAATTCTCTCTTCAGAACTAGAGAGCGCCATTCTGGCCTGGAGGACCAGCTTGGATGCTTGGGATGCAAGGAGGCAAACCAGCTGCAAACCCTGCGGTTCCTCTCAAGAGTTTCTACCTGGCAGTGCCACAGGGATGGAGGACAGAATCTGCCCCCTCCTATGTCTAAATAGAGAGAGAAATGCAAGTTTTAAGCTGCCCTGTACAGCAACCAGTTCATCCCTCACACTCAAAGAAACGTGCGAATCTCCAGTCAGTTACTTGACACATCTTTCAGAAGAGAAGAGAGCTTTGAAGGGGGTAGAAAATGACTGCTAAGAAACACTAAAATCCTTAGAAAACTTCAGGCATGAGGGAGAAATTAGAGTTTTACAAGGCCTTGAATAAAAACAAACCTTGCTTTCCGATACAGTGGCAGAAATCTGATTATCGAGGCTGTTAAAAGTATACAAGGTCATTTTAATGAGTGCCATGTTTACTGCCTGTTGCCTAACATCATGCAGGAAGAAAAATGGGTAAAACTTCCCCCTTAGGCCTTGGCTGTCACACCTACAGGCACAGAACTTCCTATCTGCCACAATTTAACATCACCCACCCACAAGCTTCTACAAGCTTCCATGGCTCTGCCTGGACAACTGCTGAACTTGTGTTCACCCACACGTTGAAAATATTCTATCTAGTAAAGCAATAATGTCCTCCAGAAGAGTAGCTCCTGGTTTTATTGTCAGTGGCAACCCTCAAGAGCTACTTTTTATGGTTCTCCCTTGACCAGAAACACACCCAATCCCATGGCCAAAGCAGTGGTGTTCCTCCCCATCCTGGGATTAGATACATGAGCTAGCAGTGTGCCCAGGTGGGCAAGGCCAGTGGCCTCCTGGCCTGTGTCAGCAATAATGTGGCAGCAGGACCAGGGCAGTGACCGCCCCCCTGTGCTGGGCACTGCTGAGGCCTCATCTTGAATCCTGGGTTCAGTTTTGGTCCCCTCAATTCAAGAAAGACAATGAGATGCTGGAGCAAGTCCAGAGAAGGGCAACAGAGCTGGGGAAGGGTCTGGAGCACAAATCTGATGAGTAACAGCTAAGGAAGCTGTGAGGAGGCTCAGCCTGGAGAAAAGGAGGCTCTGCGGTAACCTATTGCTCTCTTCAACTCCCTAAAAGGAAGTTGTAGCCAGGTAGGAGTCAGTCTATTCTCTCAGGCAACAAGGATAGGACAAGAGGACATAATCTAAGGTTGCGCCAGGGGAGGTTTAGATTGGGTATTAGGAAAAATTTCTCCACTGAAACATTTGTCAGGCATTGGAACAGGCTGCCCAGGGCACTGGTGGAGTCACCATCCCCAGAAGTGTCGAAAAGGCATGTAGATGAGGTATTTAGGGACGTGGTTTAGTGGTGAACATGGTGGTGCTGGGTTAACGGCTGGACTCAATGGTCTTTTCCAACCATGATTCCTTGATTCTTGGTGATGAGACCACCTGTGTTTGAATCCCAGACTAGACTGAGCATCAGCAGAGATTTGGGGCTATAAAATAGGAGGTGACAGGGAACTGCCATAGCAGTACATGCAGTTCCATGTCCCAAGGGAGAGGGGAAAAGGGCAGCAGGCTGTAACCCTGAGGAGTTATTTGGGTAGGCTGCAGTAATGTGGCTGAACTGGTCCTGTCAGTGTCTAGACTGATTTCTTTTCACAACTGACATGCTTGCATGCATGCTGCAGTCACATGTAAATGTGTGCCCGTGGCTTTCAAAGTGAAAGTGTTCATCTTTTATTTTCCAAATGGGGATCAGTGCCCTGTTTGCACTGTCCTACAATTCATTATTGATGTGTTCCATGTATTGGGGCAGTATTCAACAGCACTAGTTGAAAAGCAAAGCAAAAAAAGATTATGTGACATCTTTCATGCAACTTTTGAATGAGTGATCTCTCAGTCCATAAGTCTCACGTTCATATCAAAAACAAATTAAAAAACCAAGCTCAAGAGGCCATGAAATTGCCTTACCTTATTGCACCAGCTCAGTCATAAAAAGAGTAGGATTCCCCATATTTTATTAAAATGTCTGTCTGCTCAGACTTCCCCAGAAGACAGTGAAAGTTGGTGGCCCAGCAGATTAATATTCTTAATTAAATAATATTGTAGTGGAAACCATGGGAATATATGTGAAAATGGTCATTTTAGAGAGAGTTTGCCTGAGGGATGTAGTCTTATTGCATGATTCATAGTGAATGCACTCAGTCTTTGTGTCCTATGCATAACCAAAGTGCATGTGGGATGGGGAGCATGGGTGTCTATTATGTAATTAATGTATATGATTCATATAAATATACACATCCCAGCCATTTTACATAGCGCTTTGGGGCTGATCCAGCAAGTCCTCTGAACATTGAAGGTTCAGAGCAGGGAGTACAGGTCGTGTTGTTCCTGCAGTCACAAGTGGGTTGCTCCCAGGCAGGTGAAGGGGGGAGGGGTATAGATGTCCTCAGGGAAGACATCCTCTTCTAAACACCCACCCTCAGCTCCCTTTTGAGTCAGTGAGGACAAACTGGCATTTGAAGGACTTGACCAGTCTGCAGGTGAGCTGTGCTCATCCCTGGCTGTGCCTGGGAAGAGCCTGTTTGTCTCCATGAGCTCTGAAGCAAGCCTCGGTGAGTAGCTCAGGTACAGGCATGTCTGATCTGATAGTGTGCCTTTGGTGAGGTGATTTAAGAGACAATTTAACTGTCCCGTAAACATATGCATATCACAGCCTTGTTACACTCTAGTCCTGCTTTAACCCTACCTCTCCCTGACCTCGACCTGCTCTGCTGCTGCAGGGTTTGAGCTTGATTTTAATTTTGTTGAGAATCCTTAGAAGGGGAAGGTGGTGAGACTTCATCTTCCCCTACACTTTTCCTACACCTCCTCACCCTTCTCCCTAAACCCTAGTCTCTTGCTTTTTGATTCACCTTTGAGAGACTCTTGGAGAGTCAAGGTCTTTAGATGCTGGAGGACCTGCCCTGCAAGTGCA